GGCAGGGAGGGGGGAAATCATGTCAAAATGTCATCGCTTCACATGCGGAAACTGCTTGTCTTGGGGTGGCACTTTTAGGCGGACATGAGCGTTTTCCAGCCCCGCCACCCCCTTGCTCCACAGAGGTGCTGAGCTCCAGGGCCCTGCAGTGCCGGGGCCAGGTTAGTGGCAGAGTCCCCCGGGGCAGGCAGTGCCTGAACTGGGGAGCTGCAGCCAAACCTTGAGAAGAGCCAGGACCCAGGGGCTGTGCCCAGGGGCTGCGCGCCAGCACGGCCCTGCCAGTGATGCTGCTGGAGGTGGCTGCGCCTGGGGCGTTTCTGCACGCCCTGCAGTCCCCAAGGTCGGAGCATCACTGGGGCTGCAGATCTGCTGCTGCTTGGCCAGTTAGCTGAGCGTCTTCGAGGAATTAGCTGCTGTGGTGCCAAGGGAGCCTTCCTCCCACATGCTCCAGGGGAGAACCCTCATCCTCCTCTCCAGTGGAGGAGGACATGGTTCACAACTATGTGGCAGGCAGAGGCCTGACTTAACTCCTTGTTACCCTGGCCTCTCGCAGCCCTCCTCCCAAAGGTGCACCTCTCTAATGCAGCTCCTGGAGGGGGAATTTCCCCCAGCCTTTTGCTCTTGGCCAGGACCAGTCTTGGGTACTCTCTGCTGCCTGTCTCCAATTAAGGGAAAACCTGCCTGGCTGGATCATTTTGGGGTGGCCATTCTGGCCATTTCTAGCTGGCAAGAATGTGCATAAGCCCCTCCAGGATGAATCCCGCTCCCCTGAGAGGAGGTAGGAACAAGGTGTGTTGGTAGGAACAAGGAGGTAGGAACAAAGACCCCAAGGGGGTCCCAGCTCCCAGCGTCATCCTCTGCTTTTGATAACGGGGTTGTAGCTCCAAGCAGGAGTGGGACCCACCTGGGCATGGACCTGGCAGTTATGAAGCAGCGTGCAGCAGCACCAGCAGTGTGCTCAAAGCTCCCTTTGTGTCCAGATGTCTCTGGCTAATTCCTCTCCATCACAGCCACATGCCTGGCAATGTGGTGAGCGAATGTCTCTCGCATTGTTCCTTGAAATGATCATTATAGACTGACAGAAGGAGAGAAACTGGCAGGCTAAGATGCATTCACAAAAATATCCCCTCCAAGGTCAGTTTAAATAAGTCTCCATCATCACTGGGAGCGCTGCATGGGAGAGCTCATGTCAGCTCCGTGCCACGGCCAGTGTGGAGGTGGGCTTTGCTGCTCCTCTCCTGCCACGTTGTCTTGGTCCCTGGCAAGGTGTAACAACCCCAGCTGTGCTCCTGGGCACCTCCTTGCTCACACCGGGCCAGCCCACAGCTCGGAGGGGGGTGTTGTGTCCCCCAAGCCATGAGTCTGTGCCAGGCAGGGTACAGACGTTTGTTCAGCAGCTCAAGCAGGGGCTGGCAATTGAACGCAGCAGGGACCCTCCCCACCTTCCCCCTCCAGCACCGGCACAGAGCCCAGCTGCCATGCACGAGGCCATTGCCTGCTGCACCCCATCCCCACTGCAGCCCTGGAGCCAGGAGGCGCCCAGCCCTGAATGCCATGCCAGGGGACATGATAGGCAGGGGCTTTGCTGGCAGGGGGACAGGAAAAACATGGGCATGCAGCACTCAGGCTGTGGCAGGCGAGGCGGGAAGTCACTGGGATCACAGCAGAAGGAGGAAGGGGTCCCAGGGTCAGCGTGCTGACTCGGTGCTGGAGTGGATGCAGAGCGGGCACAGCCACTTCCCTTGGCAGCTGACAATCGACACGGGGTGCTGAACTGTGCCTGCAGACCCCTGGTACCGGCAGGCAGCTACCCTGCTACGTCTGCCCCACAGGCTGGTCTTAGGGCGGGAGGAGATTAAAGCTGCTTCCCGAAGCTCACCCCAGCCCATGTCACCCTCTGATTTCCTGGACAAGCTTATGGGACGAACGTCAAGGTATGATGCCCGGATCCGACCCAACTTCAAAGGTAAGTGGAGGACATGAGGCTCCCAAACCTGGCAGCGACCCACGCTTATGGCTGCCCAAAACCAGGGAATGGGCAGGTATGGGTTTGGGGGCAGGACCCTGACCCGCATCCCTCTGTCCCAACACCCTCCCCAGAGTCCCGGCTGCTCCTGCAATCACAGCCGCCCTGCGTGTGCCTGCTTCGCCTGACAGCATGGGTGGCTGCAGTCCTTGCAGGGTGTGCTGGGGCTCACCTCAGCACACTACGGGGGTGACCCCAGCGGGCAGGGGGATGCTTGTGTGCATTCATCCGCACAGCGCGTGCAGGAGGCAGTGTCCCCACGTGTGCCTGTGCGGTGCATGTGTCTCTCCGGCCAGCGGCGAGAGGAGGCTTCATGCTGTTTTCCAGGTCCACCTGTCAACGTGACGTGCAACATCTTCATCAACAGCTTCGGCTCCGTCACCGAGACCACCATGGTGAGGGTTTCACCAGCATGATGGGCTCCTTTCCCAGCTCCTCGGGGCTGGCGGGGGCTCTGCTGAGGAGTGTGTGGGTCCCGGTGCCCAAGCCCATGGCCATGCTTACAGGGGTCCTGTGAGCCCTTCTCCAGAGCTGGCCCTGGCACCACAGTGGGGACATGCAGAGCCATAGCAAATGGCTGTGGCTTTTCTGGGGTCAGTTAACCAGAGCTTGGCTGTGTGGGCCACAATCCCCGTGCCTGAGCTGGGAGAAACACCCCAAAGGGTCGGAGCAAGGCAGCTGGCAGTAGCTCCCGTTCGCAGGCTCGGCAAGCGAGCTCTGTGTCTCCACCATCCCCAGCCTCCTCGGGTGCATAAGGAACTCCTCTAAGGAAGCCTCAGGGCTAAAAATTCCCTATTTGTGCTGCTGCAAAGCCTTAATACCATCAACCATCACATCAACCCCCCACAAGGCCACAGAGCCCTTTGAGGAATGCTGCAGGCAGCAGCTCCTGGTCCTCCTTCTCCTTCTGCTCCACTCAGCTGCTGTGGCTTTGGCTTTTTAATTTCCCCTGGCTGCTGACACCGTGGGAAAGCTCCTAAGCTGCCCCTGCCCTGTGCATGGTTAGTGTCAGGCAGGCAGCACCTGCAGGGCTGAGCTTTGACTGAGACCCCCTTCCACCTCCTCCTCCTCCATCTCTTCTTCCTCCTCCATCTCTTCCTCCTCCTCCTTCTCCTCCCTGGGCACCATGGGGTGCTCCTGGCTGATGTGGTGCCCTCTGCCCTAGGACTACCGGGTGAACGTCTTCCTGCGGCAGCAGTGGAACGACCCCCGCCTGGCTTACCGTGAGTACCCCGATGACTCCCTCGACCTCGACCCCTCCATGCTCGACTCTATCTGGAAGCCAGACTTGTTCTTCGCCAATGAGAAAGGGGCCAATTTCCACGAGGTCACCACTGACAACAAGTTGCTGCGCATCTTCAAGAATGGCAATGTGCTCTACAGCATTAGGTAGAACCCTTCTCCTCTGGTGCAGTGCCCGAGTGGGGAGGTGAAGCTTTCCTCTTGCCTCCCATGGGGCAGATTTTCCAACCCCCTCCTTTCCTCTGCCTCCTCCAGGCTGACACTGATCCTGTCCTGCCCCATGGACCTCAAGAACTTCCCCATGGACATCCAGACTTGCACCATGCAGCTGGAGAGCTGTGAGTACCTAGGGGGGTTCAAGCTGTGCTTTGTCCCCCCCATCCCATCCCATCCCATCCCATCCCATCCCGTCCCATCCGATCCCAAAGGCTGGCATCTCCCTGCTTCTGAGAGAGGTGAGCAGGAAGGAGCAGTCATTCAGGGTGGGGATGAATGGGGCACATGTCCTGCCCTGTCTCATGGTTCCCTCCATCCTCTCCAGTTGGCTACACCATGAATGACCTCATCTTCAAGTGGCTGGAGGAGCAGGAGGCTGTGCAGGTGGCAGAGGGCTTGACGCTCCCACAGTTCATCCTCAGGGATGAGAAGGACCTGGGCTATTGCACCAAGTACTACAACACAGGTGAGCACCCCAGGGACCCGCTGCCAGCCCCCCTCCATGGCCCAGGGGTCCCTCTCACCCATCAGGGCCATCTTTCCCTGCAGGCAAGTTCACCTGTATCGAGGTGAAGTTCCACCTGGAGAGGCAGATGGGTTACTACCTGATCCAGATGTACATCCCCAGCCTGCTCATCGTCATCCTTTCCTGGGTCTCCTTCTGGATCAACATGGATGCGGCGCCAGCCCGGGTGGGCTTGGGCATCACCACCGTGCTCACCATGACCACGCAGAGTGCCGGCTCCCGTGCCTCCCTGCCCAAGGTCAGTGCCAGCCCTGTGCTGAGCTCCCACCCTGCAGCCTGTCTGCGGTACCCTGGGTGCCCGCTGCTGCCCCCCAATGCCCCAGGGGCAGGGGTAGCCTTCCCTTGGGAATGACTGGCTCCATACCCTTGCTGGCTGGGGCACCGCGTGTGCTGAGGGGAGGGCACAGCGCTGTTCGGCTGGGCACACCCTGGCCTGTGTGTCCCACTGAGAGGGCTCCTGTGCCCCTTGGCAGTGGGGCGAAGCTGGCAGTGGGGCGGATGAGGAAGGCAGGGGGCAGTGGGTCCCTGAGCCCCCTCTCGCCCTCACAGGTCTCCTATGTGAAGGCCATCGACATCTGGATGGCCGTGTGCCTGCTCTTTGTCTTTGCCGCCTTGTTGGAGTATGCAGCCGTCAACTTTGTCTCCCGCAGAGGGCTCCTGTGCCCCTTGGCAGTGGGGCGAAGCTGGCAGTGGGGCGGATGAGGAAGGCAGGGGGCAGTGGGTCCCTGAGCCCCCTCTCGCCCTCACAGGTCTCCTATGTGAAGGCCATCGACATCTGGATGGCCGTGTGCCTGCTCTTTGTCTTTGCCGCCTTGTTGGAGTATGCAGCCGTCAACTTTGTCTCCCGCCAGCACAAGGAGTTCATGCGCCTGCGCCGGCGCCAGCGGCCGCGAGAGGCTGGCGGGCA